AAATGAGCATGAAGTCAAATCAGTTCGCAAATGGAAATTTACCAGGGTAACCGCATGGAAGTCAACTTGTCAGGGTAATATTGCTAGCAATGTGGTTATTAGTCCACATTACCAACAACCACCTTCCCCCCGATAACTGACGTTATAAAAATAGACTATGCACGTACCTAATATTTTAGTAAGATAGATTAAGCCATACTTATCTTCACATCGAGTCCTTTTCAGGGTGACAGATTATACTGGATGTCAATGACCTTTATACTTATAATATATCAACTCTATCGTTTTTGGCAACCTATTAAAAAATTAGAATATTAACATACATATATTACCTATAATTATACCTATATATTAAAGTTACGTGTTACATAAATATCATTACTCGTATTATTGCGTCAAATTTATTTGATTAAATAAATCCTTAGTAATATTATAAATGCGAAAGTAACTCTGTCTGTCTGTCTCGCTTTCACGCAAAAACTTCTGAACCGATTTAAATGAAACTTGGTACACAGGTAGTCTAAAACCTGAGAAAGGATATAGGATACTTTTTAATCCAAAAAAAGGGTTGCAAGGGGTTGAAAGCTGAGATGAAAGCTTATATGGAAGTATCGACAATTTACGCGGATGAAGTCGCGGGCACATCTAGTTACTTTATAATTTCATTAATTAACTACCCGTTCGTAGATATATTAATATAGAAAATATAATTCCAACAGCTTAATATAACAGGATTTGAAGCCGTATCTACCAGATAACTTTGACAAGCGTAAGTACTTACCCCGGAAGAAATATGTTAATGTTTAACGGTAACCGGGTCTCATTAATACTAATAATTTATGTTTTCAATAGTAAGTACTATATTTAAAAAATATATTTTAAAGGACCCATAATGATGATTGTCTTTTTTTGATAATTTACAAATTCAAATTAAAAATATCTTTATTCATATAAGTCTCTTACACTCCTGTGATATATCAAATCAACCGTCAGTTCGGAATGATTACGAGATGAGAAGAACTGACAAGAAACTCAGCTCGTCTTCTTTTCAAATACGCGGTTATACATGAGTACAATAATGCAGATTCATTTTTAAATTCAAATTTGGGAGAATAGAGTGAGTACAAAAATGTGTTGTTATGAGTATAATGTCACTGATATGTTGGCTAATGTAATATGTGTGTATGTTAAAATATATTTCATACAATACAACATATACTATATGTATACATCTTGTTATCACGTTAGGTGCAATTTGCGAATTGGTGACATCAGCTTTTTAAGTGGTTTGTTATCGAACTGTTTGATTTGAACCTTAGATAACATATATTTCCACGTACTAATGTTATACTTGTTTAATTTGAAAATATTAGATGTACTTGCTACCTGTCAATGTTCGATCAACATTATGTTTTATGGAAAAAAACTGAAACATGAAATTCGACTCCCGTGTGAGTGTACCATATGGGGTACCGATATTTCTATTGTTCCTAGTATTCCGATATTTTGGTCGTTGTATAACTAATTATTTAAGCTGTATAAGTAATAAAATAATTGCGTAATTAATGTAATATGTAAAATTACTCATTTTCTCATTTTAAATTAGCCTTTGTTGTCATAACTTAATAAAAACAGGACGCAAGTATGAATCTCCTCTTTAAAATATAAATCAAATTAAAATATAAATAAAAGGAAATAAAACAACAAATATGGACAAACAATAATGGACAAGATTCAAAACTAAACCACACCTTACTTGAACACGAGTAACATGTTATCGGTCAATACTGAGTGACCTATATTTGACCACTTACTTATATTATTAAACCAGGATTTTTTAATAGATTATGTACCCGCGACCATCGCAAATAAGGCGGTGTGTTAAACCGCTAGACCACCGAGGCCGTCATCATGTTATGCTCTTATTAAAGGATTGACCAGTATTACAGTTTTATACAATTGGGTAACGAATTACATGTTCAGAGCATGGTGAAGGGGTTGGGCGTAGTGGGTTGGATGCAGTCATCGCGTGTCTACGGTATGCGGCGCTGAGGGTTGACGCTAGCGGGATTCTAATATTACATATGTTGATTTTGGTGTTTGTTTCTCAATCACACTTAAATGGATGGATCGATTTGAATGAAATTTGATAACAGATAGATCACATTGTAGATTAAAACAGTTTAAGTAGGCATAACCCCAGGACATAGTTTTAATATAATCCTTACTAATATTATAAATGCGAAAGTAACTCTGTCTGTCTGTCTCGCTTTCACGCCAAAACTACTGAACCGATTTAAATGAAATTTAGTACGCAGATAGTCTAGACGCCGAGGAAGGACATAGGCTACTTTTTAATGCGTAAAAAGGGTTGTAAGGGGTTCAAAATGGAAATACAAGGTTATCTTTATGCGGTTGAATACTTATTCGTCATCTTTACATTTCACTAGCTAACAACCAATCAAGATATCGCGTGCGTTTGCGCCATTCGCCATATCTTCATTTCACTAGCTAACAACCAATCAACACAACGCGTGCATTTGCGCCAATAAGGTATCCATCACAGAGAACAAAACCACAGATAACATAATGTAAAACGAAAGATCTTGCCGAAAACATGACGTTGACGTTTAGTGAAAATATTGTTTTTTGACACTTTTTTATGATAAAATCGTATATCGTGTGTATGTGTTTTTTCTTTAAACCTGAAATTGGCCGATTGCGAGAAAAATTTGGAGATTTTTTTTATTAATTTGTTTTACGGCTCTGGATACAAGTCCTGTTTTTTATAATATAAATTACAAAAATTAAGGTCAATGCCCAATGTCAAATAATAATAAATGTCAATGTTGTTCCTCTGTTCTGACGAACTTATTAAAAACAAAACTTAATAACAATCACAATTTCTTCACATTCTCATTTTTTAAATAATGTTGTGGTGTGGCACTATCTATCATTCTGGTAATGATCTCCTTTTGTTTTGTTGTATATTATTATAGCATTATGATACAATGTCAGTATAATATATAATTGTTTAGGTAGGTATTAGATAAGTAATACTATAACTCATAACTTTCATATCACCAAAGTATATCAGTGATAGTGATAATGAATGATATTTCATTTTTTTTAATCATTATCTAAATATATTTTGATGAAATATAGTGACAAATTCTTAGATTAAGGAGTGAGGCCTATAGAGATAAATTAAAACTGATAATATCAACTAACATTGGTACTAATATACATAAAAATTTAAATCAAGTTCAACTTTAATAGTATACATAAATTATTTAACATTTTAAGTATAATATTATTGTAACTTCTGGCAAAGTAATATATTTGTAATACAATAAATATATTATTTTGCAGTAAGTGTCTATAATCTGTTATAGTAATTTTACTCGACATGATACATCCACATGTTTGCTAAAACCTCAAACAAGAAACAACTGCAATGAAAATATATAATAGAGCTTAACTTGGTTTGTGCTGGTTTGGAAGCACTTATGACCATTCGCTTATAATCAGAATACTGTTTTGATCCAAACCATTATCATTTTAAAAAGATTAAGGCATTACTATCTTACCACCTCATTCTAGTTACACAAAAATGAGAAAAAAATCATAGAGTTTTGATTACTAATTACTTGACATTGTACAATTATAATGGAGGGAAAATAGCTATTAGTAGCATAGGAGTATTATCAGTGAAAGCAATGTACCATGTTAGGTTGGCCTCCATACAGGATACCCTGAAAACCACCATGAAATTCCTCGAAAGTCAACATGATGTGTATAATTCATGAAAATCCTATTATCCTATATTGTTACAAACCAACATATACCGCATACTGTACACCATTATCATGCTTTTTAATAAAATATACAACAATCATTAGGGAATGAGTAGATGACTGATTTACATACAAATAGTATTCTAAAATACAAAATTGAAGCTAATATTACTTATAAGCGCACTCATGAAACTAAGGTACCCTGTCAGGATAATTTTAGTGATAAAAGAAATATGCAATGCAATGTAATTGAGAGCTAGATGTAAGCGATTATAATAATAATTAAGATGAGAAAGTTGATTTCACCTAGCTTTCTAATCTTGAACTTGTAACTGAATTTGATTTGGAAGTAGGTACCTATCTAAGTATACCTACACATACACCAATATATAATGAAGTAACTTTGTAAGCTCAGTTTTAATTGTCTAAAATAGATCACACACAGAATCACAGTCATAGATAATCAAATCATAGAAGAAAACCTACTATTGAATGCAATGTAAATACTTAATTATTTGTTACTATAATAATTGAGTAGGTACCTAGTTGTTGGTTTTAATTCACTGAAGGTTAAACTCATTAATTTAGCTAAGATTAGATCAAAAATATAACTTAAGTTAATTTAGAGGCAAGATTATTGAGGTATCAGGATATTCCATTAAAAAGGGTATCCTACAAGTTTGCAAAATACATTTCTAAACATTTGAAATTTGGTATGACGTACCGTTACGTAACAATACGACTAAAGTGACTATAATATTCTTTCCATATATAACTAAATACCTACCTACTAAGCTAATGTCAAAAACAGATGGGTAAGTACTATGTTGTTGATGTTGTTTATTGTCTAGGTTCGTCTAGTTTACGTCAATTAATATATACCATAGTTAAAGAAGATAGCCCATTGAAAATTAGTCGTCACAACTTCTCACTATTATTACGGGCACGATTCTCGGCGATTATTTAACAAATAATGCTGCGTCGCGTCTCCGCTCCGGCTCGCCTCGCAGCCTAGCAAACTGTTTAGAGGGCATTCAACCGTACCATCACGGCCTAGCAACACCAACATTTTACACAATGACCATGACATCGAAAACAGAACAGCCTCCGGTTACTGGAGCATTGACTTCGTAGTTTTCGACGCCGCGCAAACTTAACATCAATATTACACTTATTTACTAACAGAACAGTGTACCTACTCACCTGTCAGCTGATTCGGAGCTGTCGTATCTGTCGAAGCATCGCTTCTTCCTGTCCTCGCCTTCCTCGGTGTTCGCGTCACAAGATTTTTGGGAGCTCGTAGTGATGACCGCTGTCGTACAATTGGCGGCCACGCCGCGCGTATCACTTTTCTCACAAGATTCACTCGTTTTTGGTTCGGTGTACAAACATAACTTCACTTTATCGTGTTCAAATGTTTCCTCACTGCACTTATTTGTGTCACTATGTTTAGGATTGGGCGCGGAAAAAGTTATATTGTTCATTTGTTTCGGGCCGGCACGGTGTTCGGGCGACCCATCCGCCATCTTTGAGCGCACGAGTGTTTTGTAGGAAGTTTCCTCGTGGCGCCACGAGCAGCATGGGCGCTGGCGTCGCGCGTTGCAAGCGCGGGGCGAGACGGGCCGTGACGTCACGGCGGCTGCGCGACCGCGGGGGCAGAGCGCAATGACGTAACGACTCCGCCCCGTGCATGTGCAGGGGCGACGCTGCCGCTGTCATTGGCCGCGAGTTACGCAACGCGCGAGCCTATTCAAATACCCGCGAAAGAAGGGAGCGTAGGACCACAGCGATAGGGACGTGCCCATCCCAGCCCTAAACGTAACAAATAATGCAGTGTAATGACCATACTCATGCTGCACACACATACACTCCACATGCATTATCATACACGCACTCTTGACGAAACAATTAAGTACTTATATTTAAATTAATTATGTTACATATCTAACATAGTTAAGTACATATAACCTTGATACTGCAAAAGTAAGTTTTTTACCCAGAAGAAACTTACTCGTCGTTAAAAAACTTCAGTCAACTTCAACGTCAGATTTTTTAGTAGGTAGAGGTGCAACTTTACTTAAGGTAATGTAGTGCCACTGAGCATATCGGTTTCTACATATAGGGTCCCTTTTAAGAGCCTTATATTTCTACTTTTATTTGTAACAGTTATTCTGTTTGGGCCTACAGCTGGATAATAGGTAGTATTTATTTTTCACAAGATATAAAGTTATGAAAGTTTCGAAGCATTTGAAATTTGTCGAAACTAAATTATAAATCTATTTCATTAACGAAGGAAGGACCTCTGCCTACTTTCTACATCAAATAGTAACTAAGTAGGTAAATATCATACCTATTGGTGGTAAGTGGTTATCTACCTACATCGTGAAGTAAGTACATAGATATATACGAGTTGCCTATACTCACTTATTTATGTATAGGAAAACGATAAAAACTTATATTATTTGTGTATAATTTTTCAATAGTAAGTAGGTACCTAACATAAAAAAAAATATTTTAATTAATGTTTTTGGAGTTAGGTATAAATAAATAAGTTTACCTATTTTTTTAATAGATTTTTAAATAATATTATGACCTACCTATATAAGTAATTGTCAGATATTATTGTTGTAATTAAAAAAAAATAGTAGAGCATAGAATAACTAGACCATTCATATTTACCTCTCGATAAAGAGGTAAGTGTGGGGGAGGTCCTAAATTTCGTGCCATCTCATTTCAAACTCTAATAAGTAGATTTTAACAATTAAAACACGAAATTTGATGTATAAACGAGACTAGTTCAGAGTAAAAAAAAAGCGACGTTACACCAGAGAGGGGAGTCTCATAAATGAGACAAATTGTCGCAAGGACAGGGGAGGGGTGAAAAAATAGCGATCGTATGACGCATCTATTTATTTATTTCTGTAAAGTTTATTAAAACAATGTACCTATGTAGGTATATATCTATTACTTATATGCATTTTAATTTAATTTGATGACCTGCCCGTGGTCTGTTATTAGCGAGTGGACTTTCATTAGGTACTTATATTATCAGGGCAGACCATCATATTCTTTTTTAACTATCTGGTAGGTATATTTTGCTATGCCTATTTGCTTACAAATTATACCAATACTTATATTTATTTTGAAAAAATATCAAGCATAAAGGTATGTTGATGTCGTCTCTCTCTCTCTTTTAAATTCAATTAAAATATAAATATTTTTTTGAGTAGATATTAAAAGTTTTAAAATGATGTAAGTATGCCATTCGCATAATACAACAACGGTCGGATAATGTTGAAGTGCCTACTTAGATATTGAATTTTTTTTTAATCGCGGAACGGGGTGTATCTACCTGCCTGTACTACGCTAGTGAGACCAATTAAATGAAATGAGTATGAATTCAGTTAGTACTTCATCGAGCTCGTTCACCAGGAATTCTATCAATTCTATCATACAGCGAATGTTGACTGTAATTATTTTTTCTTTATTCTAAAAAAGAATTGACCTAATTAAAATTTCTAAAGTAGGTAGATGTTCGTATTTCTTTCTTAACACGTATCGTAACGTATATAGGTATTATAGGTTCAGGCGGGATCACTATTTAGAATAAGTAACGAGTTGTACTTAGTTTTTTTTATGGATTAATATGGTATTGAGTAACCGCTTGACCTAACGGTACAAGCTGTTGGAACAGCAGTGGAGGATGATAACATGACGATAAAGTTGAATCAGTTAGCCCTTATAGGTAAGTAGATATATACAATTTTCAGGTGAATTTGCCATGATGGCAGGTTAGTTATGACCTGACCTCATGCTCATCCTATCATCCACGACAGGTGCTCCGCCAGTGTAAACCGTAAGCGCAGGCAGGGCCCCCGTACCATTATCACCCCCCCCCCTCCTACTAAATAGGTTAAGCTAGCTAAAAAGTTACGTAATGAGCTAACTGACCTGACATTATGGTCATTGGATCCCTAAAGTATGTGATGGCTGGCTCATACGTCATACTCGTGAACGAGTGCTGATTGTAGGGACCGGTCTTCTCTAATCTATCTATCTACGATTGATTTAATATTATTGTGTATTTATATTTGACCCTAATAAATTAGTGCTAGTTGGTAGTTTTTATTCACGAGTTTTGACTTGAAAAATGTAAACTTATAATAATTATTTAAAAATAATGAATTTTCTATTCTACTTTATTCCTATCAACTCCTGGTTCATTAAAATGTGACCTATTAAAAAACGTACGTATTTACGTTTAAATTTACGAACTAAATGAATTACCTATATAAAAGCATAAAGGTATTTTACTTTTATGCTTTTATATAGGTATACATATATCTTCTTACACTTCGAATATTAACAGCATATAGTGGCGCCATCTAGTAAATGCTTATTAAGTCATAAGCGTTCATTACATGAATTTTAAAGTAATAATTGGAGATTCCAGCTAAAAATTCCAGAGGTCAGTAATACACCTAATAAGAATAAGACCGTTTATTCTTCTTTTAGACTCTGAATTCAAATGTGATTTGAAAGAAACTAGGATAAATGTGATATTTTGTTTCTAGGGAAATGCAAATGTAAAATGTAAATTATATACTTAGTAGTAATACATTTTTAACTAGAAAAATCTAAATGTCATTTTTATAAGAATAAATTTAAAACAATAAAATTTGATTAAGTTGAAATTGTTTTCCAATTACATAAAACAAATTCACAAGTAAGCCGTATATTGGTATTAGTAGTCTAAAAATAAAATATTTATATATTGTAAACATATTTCTTTATTTCAACACGTTCAACACAACACATATCCAAAAATTCAGTATTACCACCGATTAAAGTTACTAATGTATTACTTAATATTGTAATATTTACAATAGCATTAGATTTAAATTAATTAATATATTAGTTTAACTAATTTAAACATATATAGGCACATATCAAATATTTAGATACTAAATTACGTTTTCAAGTAAGTAGGTGATTTTACGTCATAGAAACTTAATTAGGTAATAGATTGGGAATGCTGTATTTGTACTCAATAGGTATAAATATTATTTAAAATGCTATTCAAAAGAACAATTATTGCTATGTTATTATTCACATACATAATTTTATAATTTTTTTAGATAGGTACATTTCTTTTGTATGACATGTAATTTTAGGCTAGGATTCTTGGAACGGATAAAATTATGGGAGATCATAAAAAGTATGGTAAATATCTAGTCCATAGGTATAAATTTTAAATAGAGAAATATTTTTAAAATATTACTATGGTTTTTGATAGTATAGATTTGTTCGTTTCAAGTTATATAGTTGAAAATTGTATATATGTTTCCTGCGTACATAATTTGTTCAATTTTACTTATACAAAATACACTAAACACCAAAGCATATTAATATAACATATGTATATACAAATCTTTAATTTTTATAAGTATGCGTAAATCTATAATCTCTGTGCTTGTTGGCATGGACTACGTTAATTACAGAACAGAGCAGTTTGTTCCGTGATGTTAATAAATACCAATAAGATTGGAAAAATAAAAAAATAATAATGATCGAATATTAGGAATATTTTTTCATCAATAAAAAATAATTTATACTGTCAATCATTTGAATTATTAGTTAAAAATTGTATCGAAAATACTTATTACCTAACTATATAAAAAAGGGATTTACAATTCAATAATTTACAATAAGAGCATTATTAAAATTCAAATACATTTGTTCAATTAATTATTCTAAACATTGCACTTATATATTATTAAATAAATTTTCTTTCATTACATTACATCTAGAGGTAGATCATAATACAATACAGGCATATTCTTATTCATAAGGTGTTGTATATTTCTTACTATTTGTACATTTATCTATATAGTATTATGAAGCTTTAAAATAATTTTTAATCTCACTCAACAATAAAGCACCTCATTTAAGAGATCATAGAATTAACGTAAATAATAGTTATAGTTATCGTATTTCAAATTAAAAAAAATATTAAAAAAATTTGTTTTAAATAAATTTCGGAAACTCATGCATCAATTGTGTAATAGAAATTAATTTTACATGACGTCAATTTCATAAGTCATAAGGTAAAAAAATGAATACTGACAGAGATAGAGCTATATGATAAAAGGATAGTAAACATAGATATAACGGCTAGTAGGGGCCGGAAGAAGTTGACGTATTGGACCGAACCCCCATAATGGAATAAGGCAAGAAAAACAAGAAATATGTATTTTATATTCTCTTTTAGTCAATACTAAAAGGGAATACAAAAAACATATTTCTTGTTTTTCTTAATAAAGACACTATAAATATAGAATATAATAACATCAAAAAGCTTTTTTCTTTACATTGTTAAATAAATAATAGTATTATTTACCGTATAAATATAAATAGTTCTTTTTTTTATAAGGTATTGAAATAGAAAATATTGAATACAATTTAAAAAAGTAAAACAAGTCTCCTATATAAAACAAATTTGCTTTTTATGTATTTTCCGTATATTCACAATTTTGTTATTTGCTACTTAGCAGGGAATTATGAAATATAAATAACAGCCCATACTACATAACGCCATCTGGTGCCAACTTACGCAGATGATGCCTACGGCTACCTTTTACCATCGCACCGCTCGCCATCGACAGGGAAATCATCCCCTCACGCTGGAACCTAAGTGGTCTCGGACAGTGCGGTTTCAGAAGACCTACCTCCCGCGTACACTTAGATTGTGGAAAGAACTACCTGACGAGGTTTTCTCGAGAGACTACAGCATGGGGTTTTTCAAGAAGGTTATATTAAGGTTTCTTAAGGGTCGGCAACGCGCATGTGACACTCCTGTTGTTTCAAGCGTCCATAGGCTACGGTAACCGTTTACGATCAGATGGGCCGTATGCTTGTGTGCCACCTAAGTGGTATAAAAAAAAATGTTGTACTATAGGTATTACTCTAGTTGATATATATATATAAATTTTCTAGTAACAAGATAATTAATAACTAAGTACATAATAATTTAAACATTATTATAATGGAGATGATTTATAGAATTTATGTATTTGTATTATACATAAATTGTATAAATTACTGACATCCAACATGTTAGACAGAAATAATAGAAAGGTAAACACTCAACTATACCCATTGCACTCTTCTACATTTATTATTACATTCTTGTATAAGACCAATATGTTAATATCATACTTGAATTGCGAGCTAAAAATACTTCAATACTCTACATGATTGGACTGGAAGTTTTAAATACTGATATGAAATATGAATAAAAAATATAGAACTAGTATTAAATTCAAGGATTCACAAATACTTTGCATTATCTTAGAAAATAATGTTACTACCGTGTGGAATGAACCTAAACATTTCTTAGTTATTTAATACTGTTACTCAAAATAGTTTACTTTTTAATCTAAACTAACGTTACCAGATGCAGCGGGGTAGTGCTGTACCTAATTTCCGATGGTATCACAACACTAATTAAGAATTGCAAAACGCTAGCAACATAGATAGTGTGAAATTCATTTTCGAGATAAAAAACAGATTATAAATAGTTTTCTCACATAGTCGACTATCAGAATAAAAGGAAGGAAAGGAATTGATATATTATATTCTCACTTCGTTACCAATCAGAACAAATAAAATCGCTTTTAATTATAATTTTGCCGATACTCAGAACTTCATGTGTACACATCTCTTGCTTTATTCACTTATATATATAACTAGCTGTACCCGCGACTTCGTCGGCGTAAAATAGTGACCTTGACCAAATAATGAAAAAAATAATGACCTAACCTAATATAAAGCCAAATGAAAATGTTTCATGGTTTTAGCTTCAAAAATGACAGCACCTCCATACAATCTTTCATAATTCTTTCAATCCGTTATAACTCTTTTTCTTAATATTTAATAAATAGGTCAAAATTTTATCTTTAATATAACTCGAGTCCCGGAGAATTTTCCGTCAAATAGCACACGATCAAAGTGCTCACAAAGTCAGTTTGAGTTTTGACCAATATATGTCTTTTACTTTCACATTGTATACTAACTTCATTAATCATTTATCCAAAATTATTTCTGCAGTCAAATATGTACGTAAATAGTAGTATAACTTCATTTTACACTGACACTTTCAAACCGACTTGCTCACGTATTTCTCTTATTCTGTATGAATGCGTTATCCAGCTAATTGCCAGACTCTGAGCATTCACATTTCAAACAAATTTTATATGACGCTAAATCTAGTTTATAAATAAATATATTACTTTATTCTGTCATTATTGCACAGTTATAATACGTATTCTTAGTACTATCATAAGTATTAACGTTGATGTCATAATGCTTGGGAAGGAGTAGGTTTAAATCTAGCTTTATACAAAAACTAACATACCGTCGCGATGGTATGTAGTAGACAATGATGTATGATGATGATGATGATGACACGATGTTATAGAGAACGCAACACTTGATATGCCCACATTTTGCTGGCTCTTTTCGCCATTATCTTAGATTAATTTTCTTGGTTATTTCGGTGTTTCCTTCACAGACGGTCAGTTCTTCAACAGTCAGTCAACCAGCTACAAATATAAATGGACTCATAACGTTTTTTCTGGGTGTAATTCAGGGTAGTAAATTAGGCCCCAACATTTTGGTAGACTCGGTGTTTCCTTCACTGGAGAGTCAGTTTGAAATATAAGTTGACACAGAATGTTTTGGGTGTAATTTAGGGCAGTAAATTAGGTCCCGACGCTTTACCTTAAGATGATTACAAATTACGTCCATAAAGAAGTAGGTAGATAACCTTCAACAGATGTGTTTCTGGGTGTCAAGCTTTCTTTGTGGAGGAAATTAAGCGGCATATCGACAACGTATCCTTGTATAACATCTATTTTCCTGTTCGCCATCGCTCGATCCACGTGCCAAAGCGTCTCGCGGTGATCTTCTTGATACTTTTTGAGCTCTGCGAAGGAGCCTACCGCATCTGTTGGTATACAGTGGAATACCTGAAAATAAAATATTATACATGTATTAGATATACTGACATCTGCCGGAATTAATAATAGCCAATTTTTCATCACAAATTGGCCCTTACTTTTCAATAATAATATATCAGGTCGATTTCATACAGCGCCACCTAGTCCCAAGCTAAGCACAGCTTTATATAGATACATACATACATTCTTTTTTTTAAATGCATACAAAATATATACAGAAAACATCCAGACCCATACAAATAATAATACTCATGAATACAAATAATTGTGACGCGCGAGGAATCGAACCCGCGGTATGCTAAATCACTAGAAGGAACAGTTTTTTTATTACATAGTTTTAGGGCCTTGGAAATGCCCTTTCAGCCAAACAATTACGTTGTACAAATACAAGTCACCTATTAATTACTAGGTACTACTAGAGAGTCTTTATAGTATTGAGGATGAAGTCATACAATGGATAACTTTCTGTGGCCGTCAACACTTACATCCTCGTACATGGTGGTGTTTTGCAGCGAGGTGGCCTGCCAGACGTTCTTGTAGAAGTGATCGCAGCACGGGTCGTCGAGCGAGAGCCCCATAGCGTCCAAGTCGGCCTCCATCAGCCCGAGGTGTTCTCTGAACAGCCGCTTGCGGAGCGCCCCCGCCACACGCCCGCACGGGAACGTCTCGCCGTTCATCACTCCATCCGTGAACTCCTCGTCCTGTTTATAGTACATTTATTTATGTATTCTTTTGCAAATAAAATTTTATACATGTCGAACTTAATGCCTGATGGCACTCTCTACCTGTCAACCGTCGCGTTGATCAGGAATAGTATGGCGACAGTACATCTTATATATAAAATTCTTGTGTCAGAATGTTAGTTAGCATACTCCTCCGAAACCTAATTATGGTCGAATTTCGACGACTGGGCGACCACCAGCAAGTTTGTGCCATAGTGTTTCATTTCATTTCAATATAAAATGTCTAATAGATCAGCGAGAATCACTAGAATATTATAAACTGACCTGCAATATAACCGCGATCTCTGAATCACGTTTGCCAACCATGGACCGGTCGTTGATGTTGGCACTACCGCAGATGACGACCTTGTCATCGGCGATCAGCAGCTTGGAGTGCACGTACACCAGCTCCGTGACCGGCTCCTCCTCCAGGGTCGAGTGGGTGCGGAGACCGTGGAAGGTTATGTAATCGGAGGGGTTGGTGACCCCCGCCTTTTGCAGTCGTGTCAGGATCGCTTCTGGGCCTCTGAAATTATTTTTATTAAGAATGTTTATACAGCTTTTTATTCGAACTACACTAATCTAAATCAACTTCACAGACAGGGGGCGAGTGCAGATAGCACTCCAAACTTGAGAAAGGAATTATGGAGCGGATGAAGGTAAATTCCCGTCTGACGAAGACGACTAGTCTAAGGGACCGCTAGGGATTCGTACCTCGTCTCAGGATATCGTAATTTCGATCCCCATTTGTATAGGACGGGGGATTTATCGGAGGGAAGCGCTCTGCTGTATTAATCATATACAAGTGTTTCTCTTTCTTATCATTTATTATTATTAAAACTATACCTGGAGATGCTCTGGTAGTTCCAATGGGTGACGGCATGCAGCGAAGTTCCTGAGGGAGCTCCCACCTCGCCTTCGAAGCCTGGAAGTAGAGGCATCACCACGAACACGCGAAATGTTGTGCCGGCACGCACCGCTCGCATTATTCGGTTGAACAGAGCTTCACCGATCTGCAATACATTCGTACTATTAAGTTGGCCACTTAAAGTTTAAAAAAAAATCTTAATACACAATACGAAGTCACTCAGTTCAAATTCACAAAATTATGACAGGAAGTAAATTAACCCATGCAATGTATGTGCAAATTATTTGAATAGTTAAGCCATTCCGCATTACTTACTTAACTAAGTGTGCAAACAGTTTTTATATGATGAGTTAAATTCATGGAATTATGTTGCTCAGCTCTTTCTTGGGCATAACAGTACATATACATTTACGTTTACTAATGGTCGCCCAGTAGTTGAAAATCGACAATAATTGATTTAAATTATAAGAACATTATTAAGATTCTAATTCAGATTACCGCTACACAATGTTTTTTTATATTAGATTTATATATGTATATTTTCGAGCGGTAATTACTATGACATTCAATAAGACTATAGACAAATAATATTAATCTATTCTCAATTTGACCACAGACTTCAACAATAAACAAGAGTATATATGCGTGTTCTGTCAAATATATAGTAGTGTATGTGTATTGTTTTTTAATTTTATGTATATTTTATGCATAATTTAAAAAAAAATTAGTAGTCTATAGTTCTCCTCTATGTGAACTATTACAGTGCAAAATTTCATACTCCTCCATCCACCACTACACATTCTTTACATTTATCCAGCTAGAATACCGAGGCTGTCAATATATATATAAACTAGCTATGCCCGCGGTTTCACTCGCGTTAAATTTCAATATAAAATATAGCCTATCTGTTATTCTGATGCATAAGCAATATTATTGTAAAGTTTCATCAAAATCCAATCAGTAGTTTTTGCGTGAAAGAGTAACAAACATCCATACCTACAAACTTTCGCATTTATATCCTTAATTAAGATATATGTTACAAATATCCGTATATAACTAATATGTGTATGTTACAACGTTACCTGATTCCGTACAATAGTATTGGATCTCGAGAGTGTGATGAAGAACTGGTTCTCAATGTAGACGTAGTGCTGTGCGCGTGTGATGGTATCCACGTAGGCTTCGTGGATGCTCTGCTCCACCGTGTCAGGGTCCAGGAACCCGCACGACCAGCTTGACACGCTGCGGAGAACCTGCAAAATAAATATATATTTGTTATTACTGTGTTGATTGTTGTTATTTATTGTATCATTATTTAGGACTTTATTTAACTTTTAAACCATTCATTTTGTATAGTACATTATATAAAGACATATTTATGAAACAGGTACAAGTATTCGACTCCTGAGATAAATCGAGGCTTACTAAAACGAGATATATTATTTACATTTATTCTTAAAACTTTTTCCCGTTTAGTAATTATTATCATATACTAGCTGACTAGACAGGCATTGTCCTGTCTAACTATGAATATTGAATTCGCATTAATACAATTATCACATAAAAGTCCTCTGCGCATTGTACACAGTAGGAAAACATTTAAAAAAACTTAACGACCACATAAATATTCCTAATAAACCATGACTTTAATTTTTCCTTTCATAAGAACCTCCTAAGAGTAACAAATACACCAAAAAAGAATTAGAAAAATAGGTCCAGCCCTTCATGCGTGATCAAGAGAAATAGGGATTCATTATAAATATTTATATAGTATAAAATGAAAGTCAAATCAGTTACCTGACACGAGACTTTGACAACGTCGATATTCAAATGTTCATCCAGATCTTGTAATGGTTTTATGTCCGTATACGATTTTGGCAACAAATACGGATAATTCGGGTTCTGTCTGAAATAACAAACATAAAATAATGTCAAATTATGGTAAGACATCAAATGTACAAAAACATACTGTCTTTTTACAATATAATCGTCACATCTATATATTAAAACGTGAAACAAAAGTACAGCAGAGGAGTATAAGTTTTCGCACACAGAGATGGAGTGCAGACATCGAATATATTTTTTTTAATTATGTCATAAAACCCTAATAAAAGTTCAAATTTATAATACTAATTTAAGATCGAATTTCGACCACTATTATTATTAAATGTAACATTATTTGGAGAAAAATATATTTACCGCGCCTTCTCCAATTTGATGGCGTTCCATCTCTGTATATAATGCCTGGCGACATCTCTAGCGGCAGCATCTTGTACCATCACTCCGATGTCGTGCCACGGCATTCTGGGCGTTGTGTGTCTATCAACTAAGTCTGAAATAGTATAAAAACACTTTCGTTAACTTCCAATATACTATTATAATTTTCTGAACGTCTATGTATTTATATCTGTTGTCTAGAACCCACAATACAAGTTCTGCTTAGCTTGGGACTAGATGGCGCTATCTGAATTGTCCTGAGATTTAATTATTGTTTCTAAATAAATTACCTTTAAATAAATTTAGAAAGAAAGAAAGAAAAAAATATTTATTCAGTGCTTTTCAACAATGTTACAATATAAAAAATAAGCAAACGAAAAAAAAGATTAAATAAAATGTATATATAATTAAACATGTAGATAATTTAAAATATCAATTAAATCATATTTGTTAAGCAAAGCCTATTACTTTTTAAATGATTATTTAAATGACAAATGTGCTTGGCAAAGTTGTTCATGCACAGGATTTTCATTTAATGTTAGACATAGAGACCTATATAAATACGCAATATATATAATTATTAATATATAAATATAAATAGTTACGCTTTTAAAAAAAATGAAATTCAGTTGAGTCTCTTGCCAGTACTTCTCAATTAAATCTGTAGACTGAACTGGATGGTAAGGAAAAAATATTAATACAATAACTTTAAGGTAAGCTAAGCAGCTAAAATGTCCTACATGAATAAATTATTTTTGACTTGATTTGATCAATATCCGAGAATTGTCCAGAGTCTCACCTATTACAGTCACCGATAAGACAGAAATTATAGCGTACTCAGTACGGAGGTTTATAGTACTCAGTAATGGCAACGCCTGACTGGTATACGGATGTCTTATCATGTTCATGATGCTATTCATGTATCTTGACGATAGTGACCCACTTACCGTCAGCTTCGATTATTGTTTGCCGTTCCAGTTACATAAAAAAATGATACTCACCTACAAATGGCAGATCTAAATTTGTGAAATCCTTAACTATAAAATTTGTATAGTCCTTCCCTATCCACAGCTTCGAATTTCCTTCAAGTCCTTCCAATGCGTCTTTAGTACTCTCAGTGATCACTCTACCATCCACCACTCGAGCTAGAGGCGTAGGCTTACTCACTTTTCTACTAACTTTCGCTGTTGGCAACCCTAACGCCTCTGTTAACAGCACTTGATCATTAGACAGCGCGTATTTCTCTGCTTTTTTTCTTTCCACATCGTCGAATTTCTGCTCATTTCTTTCGTCTTCAAACGATGGGTATAATATGCTGATAATATCTTTGCCTCTGTCCGTTATTTTGTTGAGAACATTACGTTTTTGTACTTCTGGTGTTTCAAATCCTTGTAAATCAACGTCCGCCGGGCGAGCAGGCATAAGAAGCTGGTCGCCGGGCTGTAATACTGGTAGGTTAGATTGAGTGGGTTCCATTTCGACGGAGTCCTTCTCTGATTCCTCTTCGTTTTCGTTCAGATCTTTATTTTCTTGTAGGCTGGATCTATAAGCAAAATTATTATTATACTTTTTACTAATTATTTATTATGTTTCAAATTAATATTTATTTTATAACTATGTCCATACATAGTTATAAAAATCAATATAAATTACCGTTAATGTAATGAATGAGGATGTATGGAAAGCGAAAGGATGGATGCATTGTGTGACAGATGATATGTATAAAAGGAGAGTAAGGTCAGATATGAAGGCTGATAGGGTTCAGTGTAAGAAGATGACATACTGTGTCGACCTCAAATAATGGTATAAAGGCAAATAATATAAGTGAAGATCCTGTACATATTATTAGCAAATATTTAATAATTAATTTTATAATAATTTTTAGAAGTGGTACGCGTGAGCGAAATTGACTTGTGAATCTTTACTAACATTATAAAGTTGGTACCTTAACAGTTGAACATAGGGAACATAGGGAGTTACAGACCCCCGGTAAAATAGAACACAACATGGCGACTCCTAGACTTTACAGTGGGTAAAATTTGCCCTTCTTCGGATAAATACAGTCTTTGGAAATTTTTCTACAAGTTAAAAAAAGGTAGTGGCAGATTAACGAACTTACTCATTCAATCCGATGACAATGTCCTTGGAAGTCTTGGCCAGTAGGATCGCGGCTTCGATTCCGTTGCCCTGTGGATAACATAACCCGCCACCGCCGGGGGAGCTCGATGTTTTCTTTTTCATTTTTATCGATGATTTCGGCTGTGATATGTTGCCCAGATCTGTCAATCTAATTCAAACATTATATTATTTTATTAAAAAGCAATAGGTAATATGCAATTATATAAAATACAATTTACATAAAAGAAAGAAACAGTATTAAAAAACTGGTTAATAGCAAAGGATCAACCTTTCAATTGGTTATATACTGCATGTATTAATTTCTTGCTATATTAATTGTCTGATGAAATAATATAAATAAAAAATGGTGTAAATCGAACAGTATCAAACAGCTTACTATGAGTATCAAAATACATTTCGTAGCGGTATTTAAATATCATTAATACCTCAGTTTGTTTGTTATCGTTGGTAAATTAAAATAAAACACAATAAAACGCTTTTTCTGTTTTATAAAATATAGAAACTATTTGCAAAGATATCACACAAGTAATAATAAAATCAAATATCATTTATTCATGTAGGACATTTTTCGCTTATGACCGTCATATTTTTGTATTAATATTTTTCCATACTTAATAGAATAAAAACTTCTTACTTCTTGAAGTACATTAAACATAATAAAGCTAAAATGACGAACTAACCTGTGTCTGTGATCATCCCAGCGTCCATAACAGAGATCAATGCCTCCCAGAAATGCCACAGTTTGGTCCAGGACGACAATCTTCTCGTGATGTGCCCAGAATAGTACGCCCGCCTTCGCGTGGTCTGGATGACGGAAAACCTACGTTAAAATGTTATATTTTTAGACAGACAGGGTCTTCCGCATCCTCTTGAGAGGTCGAGGGGTCCTCTTTGGGGCCCCGGTACCCTTTTGTCCCGACATCATCGGCGACAACTCCTGGGGTTCAGGGTTATGATACAATTCTTGGATTACTACCTAATCTTTACAATACGACATAAAGGAGGAAAGGGGATTATTCATAATGTGGACTGATATCTCTATAGCTAGGAATGTACCATATCAAGTTGACGTCCACGCCGTTCCCTCTGGAAACCATCATGGTAAATTGCCATTTGCCAAGATGGGCTACCTGACCTGATTTCATACTCCTTTTATCATCCACTACTGCTGGCCCGTCAGCGTCAGTTAGCACCGGCGGACGCATCATTCCATTATCATTCATAAAATAATACCAGTTATATCTTAACATAACATCGTTTAAGTATGTATTTAATGTCATACATACTTAAACGTAGTTGATTGAAAAAAAATAACTTTATCCACTTTACTCGAAATCTTCAATATTAAAAAAACATCTTATGTATCTTACCTTAATATTCTCACTGGCTAATCTACTTTTACTATAGAAACTGTTGATGCCAAGCGCCATCTCAACCTCTTTGTAGAGCATTATAAATATCTTCACCCCCTGCTCCTGAAGATTATATAAAAAAATATTGTTTAAACACAAACTTATTTAAGAACATGGTGTAAAGATCAGAGTTTGTCAATTAATATCAGTTTCAGGTTATATAGTATTTGAAAACTATTTTGTCTTATCTCAAAATATCAGATGTAAAGTCCTCGACAGTATCCAGGATGGAACCTAGATTTAGCACCAGTCCGGATTTCTATCCCACCAGCCAATATCATTAAGACATTGAAGCCTGAAATTAAGTACTCACAATAATGAATGAAACCACAAGATATTCTGAGTAATTAATTTGAGGTTTCACAGCCTCTCATTGATCTTCCTATTAATTTTTTTCTGTCAATATTTTACATAAGGAATGTGGCCACAAGATATTCTAAGAGAATGAGAGACAAAAATTAATGAGAAGAAAAAAGAGAGAAGAGACAAGAGAGTGGTGAATGCGAGAGAGGATTAAGAGAGAATACTTACAGCCTTTCTTTTTAATATGGTATCAAGCCTCCAGTAATTCCCATTTAGAGCTGGCCTCTTCATGTAGATCTCTGGACTGAGCCACCAGTCCGCAATGAAGATCTCTTCCTTGGCTAGTTCCATAGCGTCAGCCACAGCTGACAAGTAGGATGAACCATCCACGAAGATCGCTGCTGGAGTGGCCGGCCGGGGAGGGGCGAACGAGTGGTGGACATTAGGATACGTGAAATCACGTGCTGAAATATAAATAGTGCATATATCCGCATTAGCACGTGTAAGAACACAAATATTCAGTGCGGAAACTTCAATACGGTTACAACCTCTAATAGTGACAAAATTCCGAGCGTTCCGAGTTTACACCCATATTGCGACACGTGCTTCGCCTCTGAACAGGCATCATCAAGAATTAAATAGAGTTCCAGTAGTTTGTAAGCCTAGCGTTGCCTAGATTTTCACCCTTCTAACATCAGCCACTATTTATTAATAGCGATATTAATATGGCCAAAACAGCTTTTGCCGGGGCCCGCTAGAATCCATATAATAGTATCGTACATACATCTATTCCCTTTTCATCAATAGGTACTTAATAATAACCTGAATAAACAATAAATATTGGAAATTTCAAAGCCCTGTTTTTATTTATCACGAATTATCGTTTAACTTACCAGACTGATTGGCAACGGTTTTGAGAAACTGCATCCACTCTTTGCTCTTCCGTTTAGTCCAGCACTTGATGACCATTTGCCGGCTGTGGTTCAGTACTTGCAGCCCGTGATTCAACCCGGTTGAGTACATACCACTAGACACTTCGAACCTACCATAATAAAATGAGATATTAAAATAATAGTTACATTAAATACACTAACTTGTAGCATCACACGTCACTTGCTCAACACAGCTGTGCGCAACTCGCCAACCAGTGAAACATATATTTTTTTTCTAATGCTGTTGGCCGAAGCTGGCCTTTCCATTATTTTACGTCTCCACAAACATAGATTTAAGTTCAATATAAAACAGTCCGCATTACGACTCCGCGTTTCTAATATGCTATAGTTCTTACGAAATTATTCCATCCACTTATGCACGTAAGATAAGTAGTGAATAGCAAAGCAAATGTATTATTCATATTGTAAAGATACACACAGACATATATTGTAAAGTATTAGATATTTTTAATGCATTTGTAACTTGTAATGAATGAATGCGTAGTGTATTCTCTATGCAATAGGGTACATTCTGAATGTTTTTCTTTACATTTATATTATCTAATATTAAATTTTATTAAATTGTTAATGCTCTGTAATGTTAACTAACATTATAAATGCAAAAGTAAGTTAGTAAGTTTGTTACGCTTTCACGCTTTAGCTGATAGACATCAAATTTGTTATACGAGAGATGAAGGACATAGATTAATTTAATTCCGATGAATGATGGCCACGAATGCAAAGTTACAAAGGCAGGCATTACAAGGCAGAAAATATTTGTAAAACAATTATGAAGATTACTTTTTTATTCAAAAGAAACAAACTTCTTAGGCTTCAATGGCATTCACCATGCGTGAGCCGGGTCCATCAGTGGCAGAGAGGGAAACTCCGAGCAGTTTCCAGGACTAGTGACCCGGGTGTAGGTTTAAGGGGCCCTTTTGCTGGCGTACATCAGCACTCACATTCACCGTTCGTATTTCTCTCCTTGTCTACCAAATTTGGTAGGAGCCTGCTAGTGCAGCTTTAGATACACGTTCTAGTATAGAACTTACTGCAGTTCTAGACAGGCCAAAATCTTTTAGAAAATTGTAGAGAAATTTCGCTGGATTACATCTCGCTCCCACTTCGACTGTATATAAATTAATCTATCTACTTTGTATATTTTTAAGAATATTAATATGTTTTTTTTAATACTAAATTCTAAAGAAAAACAATTCAGAAGCGACCCTGCATTGTTTAATATCTGAATTTATTGCTAAAATTAAATAATTACAGAATGATTCTTAATTATGTGTTTTATTGTATATTAGGGTGTAACGTGGCTTTTATTTTAATTTATGTTTGTGAATAAAATTACCACACTGTTATAGTTTTAGCACATTTGTGGTGAATAATATACTCACGTATCCACGAACTGCGTGAAACAAAATATATAACATAATTATTAAACTTGCATCTTATTGAGATTATATTATATTATATTATAGAGATTATATTATACAATAATAATAATAACCCTTAACAATTCACACAGCGCCACCTAGTACCAAGCTAAGTATAGCTTGTGTTATGTGTACCAGACAACTGATATATGCTTAGATATATATTGTTTTGTAAATACATACATAATATATATATAGAAAACACCTAAACCGATATAAACATCCCGCGACCATCGGAAGTAAAGGGGTGTGCTAACCACTAGACCGGGGGGGAAGGGGATTGGTAGTAATGTGGACTAATGATCCCATTACTAGCAATGTACCATGTCAGATCGACCTCCACGCGATTCCCCCTGGAAACCATCGTGATACATTCCCGGTGAATTTGTCACGTTGGGCTAACTGATCTGACTTCATGTTCATCTTATCATCCTCCACTAGTGCCCTGCCAGCGTAAATCGTTAGCGCAGGCGAGTGCACCATTCCATTATAATCCTTTTAAAAAAAAACCACTATACCGCCGAAGCCGTCAATTTATACGGAAAATTAAACTGTTAAATACAATAGTATTATTTAATTTATAGCTCACATTTATTCTATCATTTGTAAAGGTTTATTTTTAATGGTATATACGAAATGTTTTTAAAAGAAATGATCGTTCAAAGGAAAGAAAACATGATTATTAATTGTTCAAAGACATTAACTGGCTTCTGTCATACGGCTAATGCTAGTTCAGAAGCCTGGACTACACATAAATACTGAAGGATTGATATTGTCTAGAAATTGTACCTATTGTATAAATAATATTGTAACGATCCTTCTGAATTAAATAAAGATTATTATAAAAAAAAAAATTATAGATCATCATTCTCTTGTTTTAATCCTATTATTTAGACTTGGTGTATGTAGTATGTCTTTTTCAAAAGCGGGCAATTCTGTATGAAGATTTCCCCTCGTAAAATAAAAGTATATCTTCTCTATCCAACTTACCCTTGATCGAACAGCATAACAGCTTTTACTATGCCGTCACTCGGTCGAATGTATCCGAAGAACGTATCTTTGACGAACAACCACCGCTCCTGCCATTTGGCACAGACCAGCACAGTGCAGAAATAGTTACACCTGCAAATAATAAAAAAAATAATGTACCATAACATTGCCTAGAAAGTAGTAAACTAGAAATAGAGTCCAATATATATTTTTTTATCTCAGGACAATTCACACAGCGCCATCTAGACCCAAGTTAAGCTAGTTAAAGGTTCGGGTCCTAGATAACTGATACATATATACATAATTTTTTTTTTGTAAATAAATACATATTATACATAGAAAACACCCAGACCGACACCGTGCCAGGCAGTTAAACCAGTAGACCACCGAAGCCGTCGAATAGATATTATTATGACGACCTCGGTGGTCTAGCGGTCTAGCACACCGCTTTACGACCGATGATCGCGGGTTCGATTCCTCGCACGGCACAAATACTTGTATTCATGAGTATGATTGTTTGTATCGGTCTGGACGTTTTCTAGTATATTATATTTTTATCAGTTGTCTAGTACCCACAACAGAAGCTCTGCTTACCGTGAGACTAGATGGCGCTGTGTTAATTGTCCAGGGCTATTTATTTATATAATACAAATAAAATTAAACAGAAATAATTTAAATAAGTTCCCATACCTGACACACACCATAGTTCCCAGTAGTCCAAAGCAGTTGCAGCCGGCTTGTCCCGGCTGTGTAGATCCTGTGCGCTTCATAATCATGCCTTCTTTCCCTTTAGTCCCCAACTCCGATATAAACGATAAGTTGGACACTTCTAAGAACTCCACCTGTAAATATTTTATTTATTTATATACTTCAATGCACAAAATACCAAGGTAAAAGTACATAAGGCGGACTTACGGCTTTTTCTACCAGTCAACCACAGGTTATGTAAAGAAAAATTGTATTTAATATTTTCATTTCAGTATAAATAGATTTTTATTCTGATATTAAACTTAGAGGTACAAAACGATGGTAAAAAATTAAAATGTTGTACAATGTGTTTAAAAACGGTGAGGACAGTTTCTTATAAGTTCTTCTTGGCTAGAACTACTTTCAAAACTGACCTTAGATTTGACTTTTCATAAGAGTCTGTAAAAGACATACTATTCAAAATTCGGAAATTCGATTCTATTCGAAAAAAAAAGGGCTTCGATCAAATTAAATTCTAAATGCAGACCTGCATTTAGAATTTAAATTGATCGAAGGCCTTTTTTTTTTCGAATAGAATCGAATTTTCGAATTGAACAACAAACACAAACGAACAAGCTCAAGAATGAGCAAGAAATTTGTCTATGTCTTCTTTTTATATGTGTCTTTGTGTTGTCTATTTTATGTTTCTTATCTAATTATTAACTGACGACCATGACCCGTCCATTGAGTAGGTCACATATAATGTAGAAGTTTTCAAATTTAATAATAGCAGACTCGCAACTCGCTGTAACAGCTAGCAACAAAACCTTACCGTTTCGTGGTGATTCCTGTATATGGATATGTTAAGGAGATTGAACAAATACTCCTCCAGTTGCTTCATTCTCAACTGGATGCCTTCATATGTAATCATAACTTCAGGTTTCTTTGGAAACCTGGAAATAACGCACAAATATTATGTCATACGAATTTTATGATTTGAAAATCGTTGACTCTAATATTTTTTATTAAGTACCGTTAGTCAAACAGGTCTATTTCGGAGACGTGCATGAATACAGATTTTCTGATTTGACTTGTGGTCAAATTCTTACCTTGGCAGTGCGCCCTTTCTTTTTCTCGGCTTCGCTTCTCTCTTTCTGGAATTATTCCTTGGCAGGGCTTCAAGTACCACTTTCTCAGCTTCCTCCTCTGTGTTGACCGTATTTTTGAAGCTGGCTCGTCTCGACTTGTGAGTTTTTGATGGGAACGGTATCTTGAGAGAAGCACGGTACAGTATAAGTTGCTGATGGAGGTACAAGATGTCTTTGTACCGTTTCTTGATTGACCACGTGAAGTCGCCATGTTGTAGTTGGATTGTGTATCTGTAAGTCATAATCATTTTATATATAAATAAATTTATTAGTATTAGTAGTATTATGACTAAATACTCTTTTGTCCTTTTCGTTCCAGTTATTTTCTACATTTGAAAGAAGCTGACAAAACACTACAATAGTCAAAATGTGTTTATCCTTTTCTTTATGCATACTGATATTGTGGGATAATTAAATCAACATATGCTTTAATTTCTGCTGGACTGTTATATATATATATATATATAATAATTAAATAAAAAGAGTATTAAATAACAGTTTATAGTTGGAATCCGAAAACAGTAAGGGGTTGAAAGCAGAAAGGGACGATAAGCCAATTTGGTTTAAACTTTTTAAATTGTCTATTCTTGCCGTTACTATTAAAAATTATATGCTAAAAATATTAATAATAATTTTATGTTCAATTGTCTTGAAAATTTATGATCTTATCCTTCTTGCAAAAAAATTTTTAAATACTAATTTTGTTATATAAAATTAAAATCTGACGAAGAAAACGCTATAATAAACTATCGCATCGATATCGCTATCAAAAAATACAGTGGTACTCTGGACGCCGAACAGTTAACACTGGGCTTCCAAATTTTATTAATTGTCTGATGATGCCTCGTTTAAAGGGAAACATGCGCTGCATGTCACTTGGTCTCATATGGAGACTCGTAATCCTATAAAGGTCGGAATTTGATCGCCAGTAGCAGTGGTCAGGTTTGTGCACTAAATATTTGTGATCTGAACTAAAAGTGGCGGAATTAAACAAAATAGTACAATCAATTTGACAGATTTTATTCTATTTTGAAGTCAGCTAATATGCTAAAGATATACACGCGTTGAGCATAAAACCTCAAACAATAATTCCATTGTTAGTCACATAGATATGTAATGAGTCAATCATCGAAGCTAAGTTTTAGTTAATTAAATTGCGTACTTGGAGGAAATACAAGAACGCATTGATGACCGTCAGTGGCCTTCTTAATTCACGCTATGCAACCTTCGTTAATTTCCTTGTATTTTTTACTCATTATATTAATATCATCGAATGATCCTTGTATTCTGAACTTCTGTATTAAAACAATACATGCATACTTATCTATATATATAAATAAAATTGGAGTGTCTGTTTGTAATATTGAAATAACCGTTTTTTACTACATGCATATGAATATAAAAGCTACATACACCAAAATAACATTTTTAACAATTTTTGTCTGTCTGTTTGTTCCGGGTAATCTCTAAAATTTTAAAGCAAGTAGCAGATGTAATAAGGAGTAATTTAGACTATTTTTATTTTAGAAAAATAAAGTTAAATTCCACGCGGACGAAGTCGCCGGTACACCTAGTATTTTATAAATTAGAAAGTGTCTTTAATGGATGATAATGGAATGATGCTTGCGCTAACGGTTCAGCAGTGGACTATGATAAGATGAGCATGAGGTCAGAGTAGTGAGTCCATCGTGGTAAATCACCATGAATTTATCACGTTGTTTTCCATGGGGCACCACGTGTAGGTCAACTGTACATGGTACATTGCTAGCAATGGAGTTATCAGTCCATATTATTAACAATTTCCTTTTCCCCCATAAGTAGTATTGTAAAAAACAACCTCTTCTATTCTATTATATACTATTCTATTCTATAAGCAAACATATGACATTGAACAAATACTATAAAAACTTACAAATTAGGATTGAGTAGATGTGTAGTGACGCTTCTTTCGTTTTCTGTAAATTTCACTTGTATTTCAACTTCCGGTATGAACACTTTTCTATGCACCGACTTAAACTTCACAGGTGTGTTGTGGATAGCTTTGAAAGGCACTGAGTTCGATGGAGCTGGAAAAAGAAAAAAACAATTAGGAAAAATAACAACTATTATTTTTAGCGATAAAGCAGCATTTTTTTAACATAATTATGTAAAGTTTTGCTTTTCGATAATATTTTCCTGTCAGTTACATTATCATATTGACGGTCTTGGTGGTTCAGCGGTTTAGCTTACCGCCTTACTTGCGATGGTAGTGGATTCGATTCCTTATACAATAACATTTGTATGATTGTTTGTAATAGTCCGGGTGTTTCTATGTACATTAGATATATGTGAATTTAAAACAAATATCTAAGTATTTCTATCCGATGTCTCTTACCTATAACACATGATCTAGCCAACCTAAGTGCTTGGGACTAGATGGCGCTTTTTTGTGAGTTGTCTCGGTCATTATCATTATTAATACAATAAAGCCGCCGGTTCAAATGTTGCAACATCATGCAATCGATGACCCATCACAAGTTTGTTGTTTTATAGACACGAATAGTTATCATAGATTTATAATCTCAGTGAGTCACAGATTAAAAATAATCTATAGGAGCTGACAAAGTACATTTTTTATATGCGGCCTATTTATTTTGCTGTGGTTTTAGACAAAGAATGCGTGCGAGACGAGTGCTGTAATGACGAATAGAAGAATTATATTAATTAAAGTTACATCATTCTAATTTTAATGCTGTTTATACTTTATGGCCATAGACAATAAATTAATTATCGTTTTTCCTGCCTACATAATAAAAAAAATGCACAACAATATTATACGAGATAAGTAAATAAATACATATATGCCATTGTTCTGAAATAATAACAAATACCGTGAATCATTGTAGGCCCTACAAATATTGCGTATCTAATAAAAAGTATTTTGTATTATATATTTATACGTATATATATAATAAAATATGATTAAAACGTATAGAACTTTCACACCAAGCTTAATACTACAAAGATCCACAAAGAAAAAAAATGATTAAATTAGGATAGGTTAATTGTGTTTTTTAAAAGGGGTTTCATATTTATTTATACATTTAGTCTTATAGTACAAAACATGGTAAATTTTGAAACATTTAGTTCCAAACAAATACAATAATACAGTGTCCAGACCGTGAAAAAACCTATTTCTATCGCATTACTTAGGAAAACTCAAAAACTACTAGCCAAAAATTCAAACATATATACTTATAGATTAGTCAACTTAAAGATTTCTACACTTGATGTATGCAGACTTTGTAACTATGGTACAGATTGGTACATAATAACATATATGTAATGTATCCAAAATCTTTTATAATAATATCTATAAATATAATATCAATGTTCAAACGATATCTATGAAAAACTTTATAGGGCATGCCTTGTTCTTGTCAGTTCTTATCTCACTTAAACGAACAGACAGCGTTGTATTAAAGGTGATTTGATTAAAATTTAATTAAACATCCGCAAAAATTAACATATATCTAAAGGAAATGAGATAACGCTATTGAGGTAGTGACGTCACATTTTCCAGACATTAAATTACATGAATTAGAGCAGGACGGATAAATATCTCTTCAGCTAGTAACAAATAATATGATAGTAATGAATTTGAAATCGTTAGCATGCTGTTTTGCTACTGTAAATGAATCACCAAGTTCGATTACACAAGTTTAAAAAAAGTATACAACAAAAAGAATCAAAGCCACTGACAGTTAGGATACCTGTCCTAATACGCAAATAAAGATTAACGAATGCTAAAAGAGTTAGAGCAGAGAGAGGTCTCTTCGCTCTCAAGCTTTGGTAAAGTTAGTGTACGATCCGATGCAGAAGTCTAGTAGGAATACTAGTCTTTGCAATGGAACCAACGTCAACTAAAACCAAATTGGGTTACAAATGACCGAAGTGTAAAATAACGAAATATACAAAAACACAAAAAAAATTACTTTTTTTGAAGTCGGCTAAAAATTGCTGTAATTGTATTGTTTATAAAAAAGCGGAAAAATATGCAGACCCAAATCGTGACTTTGTTTTAAATTACCTACAGATTATTCATATTTAAAAATACAATATCATTTTATTTCTTGTTGACGTTTATTTTTATATTTTTATTCACTGCTGTCATCGTGTCAATTATCTTTATTGTTATGAAAAGATACCAAGTGTCATTTTGCATGTTATCACGTTATCATATCAAGTACTGGGATAAGCTTCAGCTAACACCTTCAGTTAATAGAGATTAATAGCGGTCAAACCCAAGTCTATGGAAGTCTGCACCCTCTGCCACAGTTACATGAACCTATTTCTTTTTCTATGTGTGTACGTGTATATTATCACACAAGGTTTGTGGTATCGGCCAATCATTAATCGTTTCAAAATTAGTGAAAATATCACAGACTATCAGCTTATGAGTTTTGTTTTGAGAACAGAATTTACTAATCGCCTTGGCCATAGGCATACAATTCTTAGTTATAGCTGTGTAGTCCTTATGACTACACAGCTGCTATGAAGAGCGGAAGACGTAGGCAGTCTACGTTCTACAATTCACAATATTCTGTTTTATATTATCCGGCTCGAAGGACTAACGCCTATTTTAAAGGAATTCAGCAAAAGTGAATAAGTACATAGGTACATATTGTTCGAAATTAAAAAAAGAAATCAAATAGTTATAAACCGTTTATGAAATGTGTTAAATGTTATTTGGACGAAATATCAACATTATATATATATAGACATATATACATACAACGTTATGTATATATGTGCAACAGACAGAATACCTAAGGACACTCAGTGTCTTGTAACTGTATAATGGGAATATCCTGGCTCATTCAGTTACATAATAATTTAGACAGATTCATGGGTAGTAAGCGAGCTCATATCTCGTTCCTTATCACGATATAGCTGATATTTTACGCATATAAAATAACCACAGATACTACGGACATTGGCTTATCTAAATTAGGACTGTTTCTATATATTGAAAGGGCCGTGCTTCATATTATTATAAACAACAATACTCCTTTTATGTTTTATCAGCATTTTTAATTAATGTAATATTATAATCAGATCTTGCTGATTATAATATTACATTAAATATAAAAGAAAGATAAAATATAAATGGATAGGTACATATTGTTGTTTATAATAAGAACAGGTTATATTGTATTTGGTTTTAAAGTTAAAAAAGTAATAAACAAAAAGGTAATAAAACTCCATGGTTGCTAGCACCATCGTACAATTAAAAAAAAATGCTATCGATTTGTAAATATGTTATAGTTACAGATATTACTAGCTTTCTTTTTAACATATATAATTTCTAAAATAAAATTAGCCTAATTAACTCGTTGTAACATGAGCTATTTGTAAGTGAGAGTTCCGTATATAAACCTTCTCCTTGAATTACTCTATCTAGTGCTAAAAACTGCGTTAAATCAGTTGCATAGTTTAAAAGATACAAAGCGAACAGGCTGCGGAATCGACTTCATTTTATACTATGTGAAGATATCCAATTAAGAGATAAAGTTTGTGAGGTTGTAGGGGTTAATATATACATCTATTCAACCGATTTTGAAAATTGCTTCAGTGTTACACAGCCCATTTAACGAGGAATGTTATAGGCCGTATACCATCACGCTACGACCAATGGTCCAAGCAGCAATGAAAAATATTGGATAAACCGAGAAAATATGACGGTTGCGCGTTAGCTAACAAATTTGTTTGTACCCATTTAAATAAAAATGCAAACAAATTTGTTCAGAACCCGTGGCATATGTCCGATTTGTGCTTTGCCGCTTTCTTTTTAATCCTAATTAACATAATTGTATAAATTTACAATCTGAAATGTCTAAATACAAATAAAGGAGATAAGATTATAAAAGTTCATTAGCGTGACCACCAAAGTCGATACAAAGTATTCTTCTTGAATATTATAATTAGTACTCAAAAGATAACAATTAACACTTCAGTGTTGTATTCCTTTGTGTTGGAAAGTGGCATATATGTGGGTACATCTATACATGTAAATAAAATTGGAGTGTCTGTTTATAATATTGAAATAACCGTCTTTTACTACATGCATGTGAATATAAATAAGGTACATACATACACCAAAATAACATTTTTTACAATTTTTGTCTGTCTGTCTGTTTGTTCCGGCTAGTCTCTAAAATGGCTGGACCGATTTTGACCGGCTTTTTTTAAAGGTAGCTGATGTAATAAGGAGTAACTTAGGCCACTTTAAGTTTAGAAAAAAAAATTAATTTTAGAAAAATAAAGTTAAATTCCACGCGGACGAAGTCGCGGGAACAGCTAGTCGTCAATATAATAATGATAGTAATGTAACGGATATTAGTGTGTTGTAATTTATGGATATAACTGTCTAATAATGAATAATGGTCAATCAGTATACTTTACAAACAGTTATCAGCTTATTGTAAACACTACGTAGGTACTAAACATTAAGATTCAACAAAGAACATACCAAAATCGGGTTCATCTTTAATTTTTTCTATTTCTATTTGTATAGAATCAGGTATAGCCAGACTCTCATCGAAATCGGAGTCCAGACCTGGACTCAAAGAGTCCAAAGGCTGGAAGACTCCTTGTAGACAGTCCCCAGCAGTGGTCGGGGTCGATGTCTCCATACCGTAGTTCGTGTAGCCGTAAAGTTGTTCATCTGGCAAATTGAAATTTATAATTTGAATTAATTAGGTACCTTCATTTCTTTCAACGATGAAAAAATGGAGATGCAGCTTGTGTAATTGATACATACTGACCAGCACCAAAGAAAGATCAAAGGATGAGTATAAAATTAGCCCATCGTGGTGAATGACACTATGCTAGCAATGAGGCCAATAATCCTCATTACTAACAAACCAGAAGTGGTTAGTATCAGCAACATATCTTATAAACGTGAATATTGTGAGTATGGATGGATGTTTGTTACACTTTCGCGCAAAAACTTTATAGTAATATAGCTTATACATCAGGATAACACATAGGCTATAAATTTCATGAAATGTCACACTTCTTCAAACTTCAAACACGTCGTGTTTCGCATGGTGAGTCGAGGTTCCGAACACTCATCTTCCTTCCACCCTTCCATCCCTTTGCCTATCCTTCCCCTACCTAATTCCATCCACACCCACTATGTTATAAAAAAAATCACAGCAAAAACTACTTCACCATGCCGCCCATGCCACCCATACTGCACCATGTATTGACTACAGGTATCGCCACCGTAAGTGATATCGATATAGTCTCAAAATTGGAGCAAGGTAACTATCTAAAAGAGGATTTCATTTACTATTATATTATCTTATCTGTGCTCTTACTGGCCAGACGGCTACAGATATAAAAATACACATATTGTTACAATAAAATATATGCTTTAATAATAAAAATAAAAAAACAACGAAAAAAAACAAGCAAAGCTTACTTATTTATGTGATTGTACCAATACAATTCATATACATACTCCTGAATACAAATATTTGTATTTTTGAGAATCGAACCCGAGACATTTGTAACAGAAGTGGTGTATTAAACCGTTAGACTCCCAGTGGAGTCATATGCAAGCATTGTATTCATCATGTTATCATGGAGTAAGTATAAGAATATGTATTAGTATTGTAGGTTATAGTGAGATGTTCCTACATATGTATGTAAGAACATGTCATTGTTTCATTTCATTTACAGAATGTTTTAAGTAGCAACTATGTCATTACTACAAAATATATATGTATACACTTCAGAACTAGTTAGTCGTCAATAACTACGCTCAACATATGTAGCTGTAAATATCTCATAAAATAATATTAAGGGGATATCTCTAAATACAAATATATATCTATACATATAAATAAAATTGGAGTGTCTGTTTGTAATATTGAAATAACCGTCTTTTATTACATGCATATGAATATAAATAAGGTACATACACCAAATTAACATTTTTGTCTGTCTGTCTGACGGTCTGTTTGTTCCGGCTAATCTTTGAAATGGCTGGACCGATTTTGACGGGACTTTTTTTGGTAGGTAGCTAATGTAATAAGGAGTAACTTAGGCTACTTTTATTTTAGAAAAATAAGGTTAAATTGTACGCGGACGAAGTCGCGGAGACAGCTAGTATATAATAAAAATGTTACCTATCTATGAATGAAATATGTACTCTATATAAAAAAAATCTGTTATTCCCATAACATAAAACATAAAATAACATTTTTCTTTTATATAAAGTACATACAATTGAATCCTAAACAATGATAGTTAGATTTTGCTGCTTGCTTCTAAATACTGCATTGCTGTGCTTTAATCTAAAAATCGGCCAGGTTTTCACTGTCATATGGTACGTTTAATTGAAAATTTTGTGTTTGTTTTCTAACCAACTTGTTCACAAAAAAAATTATTAAATCTTAAATCTTTGAGGATTTAAGATTTAATATTTTTTTTTTTAAGGTGTTTAATGAGGACTTAATACGTTAAGGTATTTTCTTACAGTCAACCATAGGGCAGTCTAAATTAAAAAATATATTTATTAAAATTAACTAACTTATGTATGTGTAAACAGTCGCGGACTTAGCTAGCTTATAGAGACACAATATAATTTTATTATACTACTCAATCTACCAATGATAAATAACAACAGTGTCTACTATAGTATATTAAAAATAATTATATTGTCTAGAGATATGGTCTGTGTTATAAATTTCATTCAATCCCTTTAGCCATTTCTGTATTATAAATATAATTATATACGTTCAAATACTGAAATATAGGTCTTCAAATCCATACTTATGTTATAAATGCGAAAGTGTTTCTGTCTGTCTGGTTATTTTTTAGCAAATTGTTCAATCTGTTGAGATGTCAAAGTGTTACAAAGTTTTTTTATTATTTATTATTTTCACTGCATTTATCTTATTTATAATCATTTCATTTATATACATATCTCATTTATCTTATCCGTTATCATTTATTTAAATTCTCCAAAACTTTTTGTAATAGTGTATATTATATATTATTTTTACACTTGCATATAACTTTGTACACTGAGATCTAGTTATAATTTTTGACTAATGAAAAACTGAATATGGAAGTAATATTATATTTATATATTTATGATATAGATACTTATTAACTATATAATTAAAAATAAGATATTTATTCTGTAAATAGTAATGTTTTTATTTATTAAGGATTATAATTATAACATTGAAATGTACTTAAATTAATCTTGTGCATATGATTATCAAATCCATTATTATTATGTTATGATAATATATAGTATGTATACATGAATTGCATCCTCTGTTTATCAATTTATAATAACACACATTATATACTTTTTACATAGTTTAATATCTACCCATTTAATGCACTAATGTAGAATTACTCAATGCTAAATATAGTATATGTGACCCTTTGAATGACATTTGATTATTTTATATACAAGTAATTAAATGTTTTGTCTCAAATAGTTGTCTTCCTTTTAATAGCAGGATAACAAATGGGGAAATAAACAAATGTAGATATTAGAATACATAACAATCTTATAAATGAGAAAGTGTCTATGTGCCTATTACCTTGTCTGAACTAAACTGCTGGAAGGGTGGTGATGAAACCTTACATGAGGACAGTTTGTATTTCAATGACGGAGAATCTTAAAAAGCAGTTGAACAACTAGCTCTTGGCAACAGCTAGTATGCTAACTTGAGCTCTGATCTATCTATGCACTAAGTTTAATTTAAAACCATTTAATTATATTTTTCACATTTTCATAAAGTTTTCTTTATAGCACAGAACAAACAAGCTTGCGACCTGATGGTAAGTGATTACCATCACCCATGAGCATGTGCAACACCAGCGGAATTGCAAGTGCATTGCCGGATTTTTAGAAGGAATAAGCTCTGTTTTCTTTAAGGATTTCATATGTATTGGTTCGAAAATTCTACAAAGTACATTAATAATTTTATAATTTATTTTATTGTTATTAAATGTAAGAATTATTACTTTGTCATTAAATTAATGAGAAATACTAATGGATATAAGGTAAATTAAATTTAAATTAGTTATGTTTTGTTTTATTTGCATAGTTGTTGTGAAATTACAGCCTATTACTAAATCATCATTGCCTTGCTTATCTCTCATTTATTTATCTACATAACAATAGTAAATATAAAATCCCAATAAACAATAGTTGTTGGTAGTTATGATGATTTTTCTGCCTTGCTGTTTTTTTATATTCAGTAATACTAATATTATAAATATTATGAATAAATATATAAAACTGTAACGATTTACATAGGTTAGTTAAGATAAGTTAATCCTCCTTGGTAGGTTAATCAAGAACCTGTGTTTAAGATATTTACATTATTTATATTGTGCCCTGAGTTTAATTTCCTATAAGTCAAATATTACAACTAGATCTTGGTTCATTATTAAAAGTTATATGCAAGTATAAAAATAAGGGCAAATAAGGATAAATATGATATGACATTCTAATTTTAAATGCAATAAAAATAATAAAAATTTAGTGACTTTATAACAGTTATACACTTCAACAGATTAAAAAATCATTAAATTGGCATAATATAAAACCATATGATGAAGAAACAAGAACAAGTATAAGAATAATATAAAATTTATCAAATGCTAAATTAGTATAACAATTTCTTTGATACAAAATCTTAAACACTTGTAAATATAACAATATATTTACAAGTGTTTAAGATTTTGTTAAAAAAATATTAACTAATTTTTTGGCAGCAGAATGTATATAATGCATATAAAACAAGTATTGCTGGCAGCTTGTCCACCATTCTATTTAGAAATAAAATTTATAAAAATAATGTTGGCAGCTTGCCAGCATTATATATTATTTTAAAATAAATTATTTATGTCACTTTTTTACTTTTTTGTTGTGAGCCTTCTTTGGAAATATACACATTTATAACAATTATTAAAGATTTTTATTAATAGTCATCATGTTCATGTTCCAGACACAACATGAATTTTTATTTATAAAAGTCTTAATCTTTTTTACAATGGTTATTTACTACCTAAATGTTTGATTAGATTACTCATCTAACCCTAAAACCTTAGAATATAATTAATTTCCATATGGGATCAATCTATAAAAATATCTGAACCAACAACACTGCTTAACGAATTCTCATAGCCAATTTCATACATTTTAATTACTTACAGGTGTAGATTTTAGGTTGTCTGTCAGTTGGTTAAATTAATTAAGTAGATGATGATAAATAATGATTAAATATACCACAGCTGTTGGTTTAACACTCCAAATAACACAACACATAAAAACAAACACATTTGTACCACAAACACTACCTCGTTTAATTAAATTGTGAAAACTTAGTGTCAACTCGTTTCGTTCCATACGTCTCTCTGTGAATATTCCTTGGATAGTTCCGTCACCATCAGTGTTTTGATACTTAATGGTTTGCCCATTACGTTGTGCCAAACGAACACTTGTGCACATAATCTCTTTTGATAAGAAATGATAACGCGTCAACACGATTCAGTTGGTATACATTCGCGAATCACGATTTACAGTGGCTGGATGTTACATCGGAGGTTACCGTGAGGTTTTAGAAGTTGCATGCATCAATGAGCAAGGCTATTTACAAAGGTTTTTTTTCCATTTAGTGAAATCTGTACTTACTAAGTTTTTGTCACAGCAAATAGATGTCTGTTCACGAGTGTTTCATTATGACTAATGTGAGCATTATATTAATTAACCCAGCCAGTGGCTAACTCGGCACAGTTATGAAAGCTATGTCGGCCAGTTTAGAACTGTTTGAATCATAAATAATGATACTTGTGGTAATGTAAATTCAAGGTTGGATTGAGATAAATATTGTTAGCCGACAGAACTGAAATAAAAAAAGTAGGTATCAAGGTATTCGTTCTAGGGTCGCGTAGTTCACGACCGTCGTTACGAACTAGTTCGGAAGAGCGTTATCAAAGATGAACTACACGAACTAGTTTGTAACACTGGTAGTACTTTTGCTTCTTAGGTCATTTCATAAAATTCTGTAGAGAACTTGATAAAAAAACATTATTAGGACAGGTAATTAGGGGCCATTCTTAAATAACATCATACATTAAAGGGATAAAGAATAGAATTGTATTACAAGAGGAGGAGTCAATAAAAATATGAAATTTAGGAGATTTCCATCCTTCGGGGAGGCCGAAGAAGTCTCCTAAATTTCTAACAGTACATTTAAATTTGAGTATCAAGTCGCGAATTTTTACCTATTAAAATGTGACCAGTGTGACTGTATGTGGGGGGGAAGGCACATAAATTACTAAAATTGATGTAACATAATTTATGTAGGGCTCTTTATAGACCTCGAGGTTCACCAGCCTATATAGTCAATCTCTGACCCGAGTACGAATGAACTAATTCGTAAAACAGTACACTCTGACTCGCGAACTAATAGGCGCAAGACTATTTCATTCAAACTGGTCACGTGTGACGTATTATGGTAGGTAAGTCAGAGGATAGTAACTTTTGGTAAATATACTAGATAATGTATTTTTTACAGTACTGAAAATTGTTACTGTAAATACAAATCCTTTATCGGCATTATACTATATTCGGTTATTTTATTCATTAACGTGTCTTTTTATAAATCGCTAAGAATTATAAAAAGAGACGTTAATTAAGTACCCATATTATCGGTACTTAATTATCTTTTCAGTTAATGTAATGATTAATTATTGTAGAAGACATATAATACGTTAAGTCCATGTTTATATTGATGCATTATAATTTCTTTTTCAATTTTATTATTCTATACGGTAGTGTCCCCAATCCATAACATTATTTTATTTTAAATAATTTCATTTCTTTTTTCTTGCATATATGTATATAGTGACTGTGGCCTATTTTAGCATCTTTTTAATTTGTGATAAGTTATTGTATAAAAGAAATGTTGTAGTTACTTGTTTGATTACTTAAAATGTTGTCAACTGCTGGTGTGATGTCATGTACACCAACAGGAATCGCTGATACAAAATACGACTAAAGACTGACACTACTTACTATTGTGGTAACATTGTACTGACGTAACTGCTCCCTACATAATGACTTATGGAATGATAGTGATAGATAAGTGACATCCACGTAAACAAATTGTTTATAACAAAGGATAGTTTGCTTGATGAAATTGAACTTTTCTGCATTTTTCCTTCTAAACGAATCACATGATGATTCACTAACCACTTATTTAGTAATAGTGATTACTTGCTCAGAGATTTGTACCTATACTATGTAATATTATATTATCTGTGCCTATACATAGAGTGGCTGTGCTATTAAGTTGTAACTGGGGTTTGATCATCTCGAAACTGAATATATGCTAGTGTTTTTTTATTGTGAGATATATATATATATGTGAATAGAGCAGGGGCGGAACTACCTAAGGGCTTTTTGGGCTGCAGCCCAGGGTCCCGAAGATATAAAGGGCCCCCAGTCCCCACTGAAACGATATTTTGAATATAAAAAAATATCTAGAATATTAAAAACCCTATCATAAGGTTGATAACCCTGAGAACAATCAACCTATTGAGCGTCATCAAAAGGAACGGGGAATTTCTGGTTGCTTGTTTTTATTCAGAGAATTTTTTTAGTTCAGTAATATAATTAGGTAGGCCCCTAAGTAGATTTACTCCAGGTCCCCAGAAATTCACTATCCGCCTCTGGTATAGAGGTAGCTATATATATAAATATTACTGTTAACTACGTGTTCCATCTAATAGTTTATTTTCTAAATTCTATTGAATTCGATTTAATAGAATTTAGAAAATTTAACTTTACTAAACTTTAAACTGGATTTACCTAATTGGTAGGTATTTATTGAAATAATAAAAATATGCATATTTGTTGAAATTATTTTTTCCTTATTGCATGTTTATTTTAAATATTATAATCAAAAGTATTGGAAATATTAAGCTTTTACATCAATACCATCAAAGCTGTATTAGTATTATCTCAGATAACATAATATACTATATTATTACATTATCATAGTATAAATAATATAATTACTCTTTTTTCTATGTTTATTTAAAGAGCCTACATAAAATATAGGAGCAAAATTGTTGATAGTTGCAAATATGCTATTAATATTTTTTAAATTGATTAAACAAGTAAGTTAAATTATATATTTAGAGCTATATTATGGGGTATAATAATTGAAATAAGTGAAATTATCAACAACAAGTAGGTTAACACAAAATAGCAAATAAATAAAATTGGAAACAACATGTACAAAAAACCTTTGCATGTTTATAATAATAAAATACATATTAATATATATACTGTTTTCTTATCATCATCATAGTCGCTGTCCGTTCCTATGTATGCTTAAATCTTTAAAATTACGAAACGGATTTTGAAGCGGTTTCTTTAATAGATAGAGTGATTCAAGAGGAAGGTTTAGGTATATGTATAATACATGTACACCCGGGCGAAGTCAGGACGAGCAGCTCGTTGTCAATAAATTGTCTACGCAATGGTAAACACAACACTTGTTGTGTGGGGGGAAGGGTGTTGTTAGTAATGTGGACTGTTGACCTCATTTCTAGCAATGTATAATGTCAGGTTGACCTCCACACGGTTCCCTCTGTAAACCATCGTGATAAATTCTTAGTGAATTTGAAAACGAAAACGGTAGGCCAGCTGAGTTGACCTCATCACCTTTAATCCTCCACAGACCCGCCAGCTTTTTATATAAAAAAAACACTTATTATGTTCACATATACTTACAGTTATTTATGCAGTGCACAGTCCTATAGAAAAGTGCTGAAAAGCAGAAATTACACGAACCGAGGTTATGAACCAATTCATAATTTCAATAACGTTTGACAGTTTAAATGGAATATTGTTAATTTAATATTAAATCTGTGAAACACTGACTATGTTTTTGTTGCAACTGTGAAACTATGTTTACGATACAACTCCTGAAACACATTCGTTGTAGCATGGAACGGTGTCACTCGTTTTTTTAGTTATAGTTATATAGTAACAAAAATGTAATATTTTATTAATAAATTAAATGTAAGCTGAAATTATTTGTTTTTTATGCTCGCTGGATGCGACTACTGTAATTGGCCACGTTTATTATATTTATTTATTAAATTCATATCTTTTATTAACAAATTAAATGTAAGCTGAAATTATTTGTTTATGCATGCTGGATGCGACTACTGTAATTGTCCACGTTTATTATATTTATTTATTAAATTCATATAATATAGACTAATAGAAATAAAACGTTCCTGTAAGACTTACAAGCATAGACTTCAGGAACATAACAACTCTCTTGGACTCCAGGGATTACGTATTCAGTCTGAAAAGGTCAGGTCTGGCTACAATCTAATACGACAAATGTTTATATGAGGAGAATTACATCACTGGATGTGTGTACCCTTAAAGCGACAGATAATGAAAGCAGTAAAATCTGATAAAAACTAAAAGGCTGATGACGAATAGAGAAAGAGAAAAAGTGAGTATAAACTTACAACTAATTTCCAAAACATTTATATCTGAAAACTATTATATACATTACTATTGTTTTTACACATTGTTTATATATCTATAGATAGGTAGATATATTAATTTTTTTGGCCCTTATACACTATGTGTTTATATGAGGCTAGCTGTTCCCACGACTTCGTCCGCGTGAATTTAACTATATTTTTCTATAGCAAAAGAATCCTAAGTTACTCCTTATTACCGTAAAGTCCCGTCGACATCGGTCCAGCCATTTCAGAGATTAGCCGGAACAGACAGACAGATAGACAAAAATTGATAAACATGTTATTTTGGTGTATATACCGTATTTATATTCATATGCATGTAATAAAAAACGGTGATTTCAATATTACAAGCAGACACTCCAATTTGATTTATATGTATATGAGCTTAAGATACGCAATGATCGAGCACTGCAGATGCAAACAGTCGAATACGACTGCGGGTGACACTTCTCAAGCAATATTAATTTTTATATATAAATGACGGTTTATATCAGATACTCGCGGATTCGATTCGTCGCACGGTAAATATTTGTATTTTTTTTTGGTGCACCCGCCTGCGATGCCGGTTTACGCTGGCGGGGTACCAGTGAAGGATGATAGGATGAACATGAGGTCAGGTCAGTTAGCCCACCGGAATTTATCACGTTGATTTCCAGGGGGAACCCCGTGGAGGTCAACCTGACATGGTACATTGCTAGTAATGTGGTCATGAATCCACATTACTACCAATCACCTTCCCCCCAATATTTGTATTAATGAGTATGATTGTTTGTCTCGGTTTGGGTGTTTTGAATGCATATTATGTATGTTTTACAAACAAAAATGTATTTATATTAGTTGTCTAGTACCCATAACATAAGATGTGCTTAGCGTAGGACTAATCATGCGCCGAGGTTACCCATCGCACTTTTTCTAAGTTTTGTTTTGTTATCGGTGTTTTCTTCACCAGTCTGTAAGAAATGTACCTAAATATCTATTGTGTATGTCATAAAACTTTATCTTTTCGCATGGACCAGATTTGAAGTCACTATCTTCTGGATGAAAGTCGGGGTAATAATCACTTGTCCACAATGTGAGCGACATTGCGTATTTTTGCTGAAATATTAGTCACAGTCTGGGTAGTGTTACAATTTTGCTAATTACTTAACATCTATTATTTCCCCATATGAACTAATCTAGCGTGAGTATTAACAAATAACAAATTTATTTTTATGTAAATATGCACAGACGTTTTCTGAAATCAACTGAAAAGTTGCATCTGAAACGAGTTGGCATTGTGTATGTATGAACACAATTAGTTACTGTGTCGACCAATATATGGTGACCTTTCTGTATGTTGAATTGCATGAACAAGAAGGGTGAGTGGGTTGGTGGTAGCGGGTCTTATTGAATGGATTGGACCAGTTAATATCACGGATTAACATTTACACATGCGGCCAGCGGTGGGCAGAGAGTGTCGCGAGAGGACAAGTGACCGTGCAGTCGTATTTCGCGCACCGACCGGCCTCCGCGTACCCGACTGAACGCACGCTCACAACGTAACACATGCTGCCCGCCACAATTCAAAATTCGAACTGTCACGTTCGAAATTTGAAATAATAATTATTTTTCTTAATTGCTAACTGTGTGCACTCGAGCGGAAAGTGCCCAAATCGTTCGCGACACTGGCCAGTGTCCGGATTGCACCGGGGCCGTTGACATCGAAGCAGTGATACGGAACTCGATCGATATCAAAAATTTGAATGTATTTTCGAACATGTCGCGTTTTGGCGGGAAGTGTGTGTTGTGTTGACGGATTTTTTTTAACTACAGTGAAGGTGTTACCAGGTGTTAAAATCTATTAAGTGATAACTGGAACGATGTTGGATACGACCCAATCTTATTTAGTGTTTTATTGAACTGCAATTGAAGTTTACTTAGCATTGCTGAAGGTAAGTGCTATGGTCTAATTTACTAATAAATACTCTTTGAAAGTTACACAATGTTAAAATTATTTATCGCTTTCTAAATATTCGACCATGAGTGCGATTGTAGTCACGAATAAACTTATTTAATTTTTGCGGCGAGAAAATATTTTATCTGTTAATTATTTGCCACTGTGTCGGTTTATTCATTGAACCACTGGAACTAGTGCACAAGAACTCGTTTTATGAAAGTAAATCCGCGTAAAACTGCGGACAGTTATGCTTACATTGCAGTTACGACATTTCATTCTATTTGTAACTAGAAGAAATTTTCATCTAATTATGCAATTTATGTCAAATTAAGTGTCAACTTTAGGGGTCATGTTGAGGTCATAAGCAATTTTACTAATGCCAGTGAAATGCTCATAGACATTTCGTTTGAAAATAATTACGGTATTTTTCTTTTAGAAAGAACATGAAATTACATGTTGGTAATGTTCACTTCCTTTGAAAAGTGGAAATAAATACGAAATTTGTAAATTTGTTTTAATATTTATAACCTATTTTACTTTAATTCTTAATATTGTTACTCTCTTATAATTTGCATGCATATTGTAGTAAAAATGGTTAATCAACTTATATATCAATATTTACAATTAAACATAGGTGATTCTAAAATCCATACGAATTAAAAACTATGCTTCTATACTCATATCACAAATGCGAAATTGTGTCTGTCTGTCTGTTACTATATATTCACGACTTTATAGTCGTGAATATATAGTAACAGACAGACGTCATAACGAATATTAATGAAAATTAACCTAAAGAGAAATGGTACCACTAGAATGGACAAAGGCTATTTTTTTTTAAATAAGGCACAGGACAAATTTGTGTACTTTTTTTTCTTATTGTAAAATATTACTTTTAGCAATTTGGTAAGTAATTATGCGTCTCCTAGTATATTCTCTATGGGATCTAATTATTTTAGTTTTATGTTTTGTCTAGTATAATGTTTTAATGAAGTAATAATATAAGTATAGGATTATTATTCTTTATATTAATAATAATAACTCTGAATTGTCCTCACCGCCATCTAGTCTCCAGCTTAGTGGAGCTTGTGTTATCTATAGTTACGAACTGATATAAATATTTAAGTACATTATTTTTTGTAAAGACATAATATACAAGGAAAACATCTAGACCAATACAAACAATCATAATCATGAATAAAAATGTCTGTACTGTGTCGGGAATCGATCCCGCGACCATTGAAAGTAAGGCGGTGTGCTAAACCACTGGATCACTCAGTCGTCCAACTGAGGCGGTCAAAGTTAATCTAAATATTATCGATTACAAAAGGAACCATCAAAGTCATAGACTTTTGATGAATATATACAAAAATACGTAAGTATCATAGACTCTACCTAAGAATCACTTCTTTCACGCGGTCCTATTTGAAAACGAATGAAACTCCTGGTAATTTTTTTGGTAAATTTGCCACCACGGGCCTAATGACCACACATCCTATTATCCTTCACTACCATTCTAGTATCCCGCCATTGTATACCGTTAACGTAGGCAGGTACGGCTCATCTATTATCATCAATTAGAAAAAAAACACCTCTTCCTTTCAACAAGTTCAAAATCGAATATTGATCTTCCAGTTTAAATAAATAAATGGTTCACAAAACGTTCTATTTCATGAATACTTTTATGGACAGGGTTTTTGTTATATTTTTTTAGTAGATAATAATGAATTAGTGCACCCGCCTAAGCTACCGGTTTACACTGGCGAGGCACCAGTGAAAAATGATAGGATGAACATGAAGTCAGGTCACTTAGCCCATCGTGACAATTTCTCCGGGAATTTATCTCGATGGTTTTTAGGGAGAACCGCGTGGAGGTCAACCTGATATGGTAGATTGCTAGCAATGGGATCATTAATCCACATTACTAACAATCTCCTTCCTCAGGGTTTTTATTACATTTATTTATCACTTTATTGTATTATCAGGTACTTAGACTGAATACTTTCGCATCTCTAAATAAAAAAAATGTGCTTACAAAGCGTAAATCTAGTAGCATTTAATATTCAACCTTGAGAGCGAAATACTACAAGTATTATCATTGAATTTCCCTTTTTTTCCTAGTTACTTAATTTTAAACGTCCTTGTCTGCTTAAGTTCGGCCTAAAATAGCTCATAATTGACAAACAAAAGTCATTGATTGAAGAAACAGATTATGCTTGTCAAGAATGGAAATTTGGTATTTCCTTTAAGACTATTAAAAAAAACTTCTTTACCTATGTTCAGAAGTTTTTTATGCAGTACGTTATTAATTATGCCAAGGCAGTCCAGCGGATTAGCACAACGCCATATTTCTGATTGTCGCGGATTCGATTTCTCGAACGTTACAAACATTTGTCTTTATCAATGATTGTTTATATCGGTCTGAGTGTTCTCTATGTATAATAAGTATGCACAATATTTATTCAATAAATATATTTAAGATAGATATCATCAATTTATATTGAATTTTAAAGATAAATTGTGAAATATTTTTTTATCAACTAATTTTATGTAATAACATTTACAAGTGCAAATTTTGAAAGATTTTAAGTACAGTACTTACGAATGGTTGCATAAGTAAGGTAAGTATATTATTAATATTTAAAACTTTGAGGAAATTACAGTGTGATATAAAATAATATCAAAAACTTTTGTCGGAAACCACATGGCCGTAAAGAAATACCCAAAGATAAAGTTCTATGGCTTCCTAGTGTTGGTGAAGTGTGGTTTTTATTTATTATCATATGTAGTTATACTGTACTAAAATATACTGAGTTTAATACAATACCATACAGAAAACTAATATTTCCAATTCTTTGGCTATTAAATAAATAATTTTACTTCTTCTATCGTCTAAATGGCAACAGAATAAATAATTTATAATACAGTTGAAGTATTTAAAAGTATGTCATCTTCCAAATGGAACTAAGCTTACTTTCCTTTATACTCCATACATATAATTTTTTACTCAACTTTCTTTCTTATAAAACTGATGTAAAAGATCATTTTTATACCAAGGTTCATAAGCTAGACCATCTCTAGAACGTGGTCAGATCACCTTCCAGAAATAGTATTTCTGAAATGATATGATATTGATACTTTCAAGAAAAGAGCTTATTCCTTCTTAAAAGGCCCGCAATACACTTGCAATTCCCCTGGTGTTGCGGGTGTTCATGGGTGGCGCTAATCACTTGCCATCAGGTGACCCATAAGTACGTTTCTCCCCTGTGCTGTAATAAAAAAAATGTTAGACACAGAACTTTATTATGCCTAAAAGAATGGGCACACGTTCTATATAGTAAAGGAAAAGACACAAAATAAATGCACAAACAAAATTATGGTGAAAAATTAAAAAATACTTATATGCTTTACTTTCTTTTTCGAAAGCTGGTTACGAATTCAGGACGCAAACGTTACATATTATTTAAAAAAAATATTAAGGAAATATACCATTAAAAGTTATAATGTTTTACGTACGAGTACATTAGTAATGATTGCAAACCACTGTCACGCACGTACTATTTGCTGGTATTTTCACTAACATGTTCCTGGCACGCTCTTCAAATGTTTTTATTTAACGTTAATACCATCAGGAAAAGGTAGAAAACTTTCGAATATTAAATTAATATTTTTTTTGTTCATTATACATATTTTCTTTATATAAAATTTAACGAACAAAAAAAATATAATATAAAAAGGTATACCAACATAATGATTACACAGACATATTATCATAACCATAAAAATCAATAATTAAATCCATAATAAATAGGTATATGTATGTACGGTTTGCTAAATTATTCAATTTTTTACTGTACATTTTAAACAAGACTCGTCTAAAATGCGTATACTTTATACTCTATACTCTGTACGTCACCTATATTTTTTTGTTATAGATAGATTATTCTTTTATTCTATCCTGTCACTACGTTATACTATGCTATGATGTAACTGTATCCCGATAACTGTTGTTTACGATAAATTATAAACTTTAATCTGTACATGCACGCATATATATTTATATATTATATAAAATATATTTCTTGACAGGCCGTAAATGGGAGATAAGAAATATTTTTTGTAAGTCAGGAACGACTTCATTCATGTTTTTTATTTGCTGCCGAATGCTTGGTAAAAGGTTCTTATGGAAGAATAAAATTAAGATATTAGAGCATATAATTGAAAAAAATAAAGACTATAAAATTTCTTTTGTCTATCAACTAGAGCTAAATAAAATAAATAACAACAATTATAACATAATTTATATGAATTCATTTATTTATTCAAGTTAAATTAGTGTTTATCATGAGACTAGTGACTTGTCTTTCTCACAGCTGCACTCACGCGGAACCCATTATAATATGCCATTAAAAATAGTAATAAAAAATTATTAATATGCTAAGTGGCTGATATTATAGCCTATATGAACAAATGCTTTTGATGTTATGTTCTTTTCAAGAAAGACTTAGCCTGCAAAATTACAATTTCACTTTTGTTTATTTAAATATAGATCAATTCATTTATACGTATACTAATAATATTGTACTTACCATTATATATAATAGTATATTTAATATTGTTTAGATTATGTAGCGTAGTTGAAATATATAAAAAATATAGGTATTTGTACCATTAATGAAAAATTCAGGTTAAAACCTTGTACTTGAAAATAGTATTGTGATAACAAATAGAAATATAATGTATCTCCCATTGAATAAAAAAACTGCAATCGATTGTGTGGTTGCCAAATACACACAGACAAATAATAACCTAACCTTATTTGGTTTAATAGCGTAAGTAAGTGTCGCATTATGCCGTTGTATCGAGTCGATCGAATGAGATAGAAAGTGAATTCGTGCACGTAGTTTGCGCTACCGGGCAGTGTAGACGTGTGCGTTTTGCTAATCAATTCCTTTTTTTCTTAAAATATGGGCATCTATATATTAATACGTGAAG